TTATTAACAATTTTACTTGCTGTGTTTATATTAGAACGAAATCATAAACCAGCTGTAGAAGAATTGAATTAATTAATTAATTATATTTTTATTTTTAATTGTTAAATTTCAATACCATTCTTTTCGTAGAGGCATTATTTGTTGCATGATTTGTTATTTCTTATATATAGAACCTAATTCAGGAACGTAATGCTGAGAAAGTCATGCTAGTGTTTCTCCACTAGTTGCACGGGCGAGACCAATATTTTGTGAATTTAATATTATTTTTAATATTAAATTAATATTTATATATATTTTTTGTATGTATACTTCATACCTTTTTTATTTACTTTATTTTATTTACTGTATTTCGAAGGTATAAAGCATGGAGTCATCGTCTTAGATAAATTTATTATGTTTTTTTTTTTAAATTAATTAATTATGAATTTTAATAACAAAGCACTCCTAATAATACTATAAATCATATATTACAACAATAGTAACAAAATGTGAATCATTAATAATATATATAAGAAAAACTGTTCTTCAATCAACAATAAGTTATATACCATATAGTAATGAGTATTTCATTCAATTGTGATGACTTGCTTATTAGTCTCAACAATAATTACTGTCGAGAACTATTTTGTAAACAATTTATTAAATTTTAATTAATAATTGCAGTTTTCTTATGAATGAACTTGTTATATTACAAAGCAACATAGCAAAGCAAGTACCGAAGTTAACAATTTTGAAAGCAGAATTTTTGTGTTAACTACAACCGCAAACAAAAAAAAAATAGATTTTTAAAAACCAAAAAAAAAATATATTTAAAAAAATAACTTAAAATGCAACTGAAATTACATTAAAATTGTTTTTGTTTTGAAATTTAAGAAATGTCAGCACAATTGGCACGTTTAATAGCTTCGTCGTTGAAATTGAATTTTTCGAACGAACTTGTATCTTGTATCTGCAGTTACGGCAGATATAAGAGAGACAGAGCGGTGCAGACTGCACCTATGCACACAACAAATTCTAATGACGTTGTCGTTTGGTTGTTTTTTTTTGTGTTGGTTTAAGAGGAATTTTGGTTTCTTTTAGAGCAGAAAATCCGCGCATAACTCATCCGCAAAACGTAAGCCAGTCACGTATTGCTCTTACGTACGCAATGGATGTAATACGTACCATTACCGCACCATATCAGTGGGGCTATGCTGTATCCGCAGTGCGAGCTCAAGACGTGCAACAAATGCGAATGCGAATGCGAATGCTTCTATTTCGCAACATATTAAGTCTTTTTATTGCAATCGATCACAATTCAATTCAATTGACTCATTATTCATATTTATTATTCCCAGTTCAAATTGTTTGGATTTGAGTTGAAAGAAGTCAACTTTGTTGATTTATCAAGCATCAATGATTGCATTTTAAGTGGCTTCGGCTTAGGCCTAACGAATTAAGAAAAAAATGTATTTCGAATGCGAATATTTTTGAGTTTCAAAGTTAAACTGAATTTAAGTTTTGATCGATTTAAATTAATTATTTTTTAATTAATAAATAATATCTGTTTATGGAAAAATGTGCAAATACTGTTTGGTCACACCTTTTTTTTTTGATAAATTAACACTTTACTTTTACTTTATGTAACGCAATGGTTACTGATTTACTGATATACTGATTTACTGATATACTGACCTTCACAACAGTTAGAGGCAAATTTTTTATTAATGTTTCTGTCCAACTTTGAATTGCACACTCAGCACTTTTATTTATGTACTTTTCATATTTAAATTTAATGAATTTAATGACAAGCATAAAATATATTTATAAAAAATAATAAAACTATTTAAAACGTTCAAAAATGAATATTAGTTAGTTTTATGTTAACAAGCTCAATCGGTTCTTTAATGAGTTTTTAATCATCCTCAATCGTCCAGTTAGTCCCCACTTACTGAACGTTATGAGCACATGCCATAGTTCATTGGATTCATTTAATTCAAAAGTGATTTGCTTATCTCGGGCAAATTGTGCTTATAAGTCAATAGGCAGACACGTTTTCTTATCTTAAGCCCCTCGGTCAAAATCTGGTTATTGATTGTTTTCTTGACATATGCAATTGCTGGCAGCTTAACTATAAATTTCAAAAACAATTTTTTATTCAGTTTTCATACAAGTAACGCGCCTTGGCACGATTTTGATTTCATTCTGCGTTTGTCAATTGATATATTGACTTTTCATATCCAAGTATTATACTTTAGGATGCCGATATATAGAGTATTTGTGCGTATAATACTCATTGATTTTATTAGTTATTCAGTTAACCAAATAGAAGTGTTTGTAATTGCGCAATATTGAAAATAGAGTATGGCAAATTATTCAAAAAATAATAAATATAAAATAAATGGATTTATTTACATAGAATTTAATTTTTTTAATTAACAGTAAATTAAAAAAAAAAAATAGCTTAATTCATTTAATTAATATTCTTGAACAGTTACACATTTCTTTATTATGAGTACAACCAAACAATTTTTTTTTGACACAGTATGAGACTTGAAACCACTAAAACCACATTTAAGGAATGAAAGAAGATAATTTCTACAGCAAGATGAATACTTCATTCCTATAATCGAGGGAGATAAATGTGACCCAAACGGCTTAATACCTACTAGACTGGTTTAGCTAAAGCGCGGTGCAGATTCAGTTTTGAGTGCCACTCAAGTTACGCTCTCTAATTTATTCTAGCGACCGAATTATAAGAAAGAAGTTCTTCAATTTTTGAAGAAGAATGTTGTTTGCGCACGCTGTAAGTGCGTTTTTGTAACCACGCAAAAATATGCTGTTGTCTGACGGACTGTAAGTTAACGTGTTGGTTTGGTGTCATTCAAAGATGCAGACTTGCAGTTTTGATTGTCAGTCATGGATTTTCTTTGTTGAATGACACTCAAAACTCCTAGTCTGCATCGCGCTTAACCCAAAAAGCATGGGCATGAGCAGAAAGGTATATGAATCCCGCTCGTCGTGGTTTTGCCAAATGTTTTTGCAGTTTCATTGAAAAAAGTATGCTTAATCCGATATTTGCTGGTGCATTTGTTATGGCGTCCATTTTGATTTGTAATTGTTCGTTTTTGCATATTAAGAGTACTATGTCGTCGGCATAGTCTAAATTTTCTAAGTGTTGATTGATTAGCCATGAGATTTTGTGATTAGCTGTGGTGGAAACTTTGAGCGCTGTATCTGTTATTACTGCAATTACTGCAATATCATTTGAGTTACCACCAAGTATGTTTCTCAGCTTATTAAGAGCTGAAGTCAAATTAATCATTTGTTTTTAAATAAGTAGTCTACTTAATATCTAATAACCTTCATATATAGAATTAAAGAATGGAGTTACATGTTAATTCTTTGAAATATAGAGAGAAATATTCACACTTCTTAGAATTAAATAATGATGACGTATGTTGGTATTGTAAAACATAGAGCGAAAGATTTACTGCTATCACGTGAGGCCCTATGCTCCACTTAGAAGAGTAGGACAGCAGTAAGTGTACTGTTATCTTTCAACCTTGCATGGTGCGAGATATTGAACCATGAGATATTATATTACTAGGTCTGCTTTAATTTGTCCAGATTCGTTTAGGAGACTCCTTCCAGGCATAGTACAATAAAGTTATAGGTACCTGTGTACCATTATTTTTTCTTATTAAATCGATGGATCCAAGTTTTAAAAGTCATATATAATATATGCAGCAACAATTTACATCCGTGTAAATATGTAGTAAATGTTACTCAGATAAATCACTCACGATTTTGGGGAATCGTTCGAATGTTTTACACCAATTTTCCAAAAATAGATGTATTAAGTTTTGTTTATTTAGCTATACAACTAATTAGTATTGGAAAAAGCAGACGCCGTATGTGCAGATAGATCGACAGAAAGAATCACATATAGATACATTGGGTTAATTTGATTTATTGAGCTCATCGGATATATACCTGTTATATATTATAAATAATAATTATAATAAACAAAGTATATTTATAAAAGGTATAAAATGATTGCAACTATATAAACCCACTATATCTCTGAAGCTTACAAAGATATTATATATATTATATAAACTTATATGTTATAACTAAAATTAATGTCTAATATTTGGTTCGTTAATAATTTAATATAACGCCCATTAAATAGCATTTTAAGCTTTACGAAAGGTTTTTAGGGGGATTTCAAACTTACGAGTTTTCCTTTATACGATGGATCCTTTGGATCGCCGGTATTATAAAACCGGTCTTTTAATTATACTTGGTATATTAAAAAGAACCGAATAAAATTATGAGTTAGGACCAAAAATATTATGAGCTATCAGTGTGCTTACAGTTTTGATACGTTATGCACACCACAAATAGGAACTAAAGCTTATCTGTGTGATTATTTATAGAAAAATTCAACAAAGTTGTTATAATGGTTGCACTAAGTTTTGGACCGTACGACAGTGCGCAGTATCTGAAACAGATACATGATCTCTTTATATAATACCTTCAACTATAACCTAATCATTAGAAACTCTTCATAAAATAAAAGCGTTGGATAAGCGCTCAATTAATTTATTGTATTTACATAATGAATTAAATTATTTATTAATTAAATATTTAATTAATATATTATATATAAAGCCATGTTTTGCTAATGAAGATATATACAGGTATAATTCTTACTTCAAAAATAAATTTCAACAATTAAAATTATTGCGTTATTTGAATATTATTTTTAACTACAAAGGGTAAAAACCGAAATAAATATTGAATAATAATTTTTAGGTCCACTTTTCATATTTATAAAACATAACTTGACGTCATTATAAACAAAATGTTTGCTTTTAATTATTTTGACAAGTATTCATTCGCAATTAACTTTTTAACATTATTTTTTCTTAGCTAATTTTAGACTTTAACAGCTGCACAAATAATTGGCACTCTAAGTAAATATAAAAATTGTTTTCATACTTAAAAATTTCCAGCGAACCTTATAAATTCATCAGTTAAAAGACGTGAACCTTCATTTTATCACTGCCTTCAGAATGTATCTCGGACGAGTACTAATTTTTGCTTTAATCGGCACTGTATTCTCGGCGAAAGGAAAACGGTCGCTTTTGGAACCTATCGAATTCAGTCCATGCGGAAGCCGATGTTTAAGATTCTACCGTTGTAGTCCATATTTCAATGGTGATCCTGCTTGGGGTATTGTCGATGGTGTCTGTAAAGTATTTTCAAATGGCTGTACGTTAGGCAACGTTAATTGCAGTCGTATAAATGATTGTCTAAAGGGTATATGCCGCGAATTCTTTAAACTTTTAACTTAGTAATATGAATTTAACCATAAAATTTTATAGAAGTTAAATCTGTTGAAAAAAAGGAATGTCAAACTTATTGTCCTGATTGTACTAATATTGCAAAAGATCCTGTGTGCGGTTACTTCTATTATTACGCAGGTGCAGAAACATCCACTATGACTTCAACATTCGATAATCGGTGCGAAATGGAGAAATGGTCCTGCTGGAATGGCATACGTAAGTGAACATACTACTAAAGGTTTAGAACTAATCATGTTAATTATTTTTTTTGTTATTTTCAGCTTATAATGACGCAACACTAGGAGCTTGTGCATAAGTTATTTTTTTTAAATTCATATTTATTTGATAATAAATTTTTGTTTGCATCTACAGCAAAGATTAATTGAAAGTAGAGTAAAATTATTTATTGTTTCATTTTTATAAAACATATATACTTTTAAATAAATAAAATATATATATATATGTATAAATTATTTGAAGCTAAATAAACTATAAATATTAAAAACCAGTTTGATATACTTATGTGATAGAACAATGTTTCTCATTCTGTCTGTGTATCCTTTCCAACGACAATTAGTCTAACAATATATAAGGCAATTAAATAATCATTAATAATCAATGTTTAAAAAATTTAGTTATTATAAAATTTCAGTATTTAATTAATTGAATTTTTGGCTGACTATAAAACCAAAAGTTGTAATTATAACCTAAAGTCTAACTATTAAATAGTTTCTTTGCGATTCGAATCTGTCATAAAGACGCGTCACTAATCGATATGGATCTGCAGACGCAGATTGAAATATAGTTTAGATAACGTTTCATTTTATGGTGTTAATTTCATCTGGAATGTGTTTGTAATTATTTAATATGAACACTATTGTTATTATTATAGTATACTTTTTATAATATATTATATATTTATAATACAATTTATAAATGAAATGTATGTTGGTTACTGACAGAAATAAAATATAAAGCTGGTGACTGTCGACTAAATCAACCGTAACCAACAACAACGATATCGGCCTGGAGATCAGATGCAAAATAAGCATTAGTATTAGGATCCACTAATAGCTAAATAGGCAATTGGGATGTTGCGTTCCGTCTCTCTCTTTCTCTACAGCATAATTAATACTCTGAAGGCCGCTTAAGTTTTTACCTTAGTTTTTGGATGGGGTAGAAGCATGTATGCTATCACAGAATAATGAAACTGCACTTTTTGAGAGAAAAGTCCTTCGTGAGATATTTGTTTTTTCCCGGGTTTGCAATGATTACCGCATTTGAAAGAACCACAAGCTGTCCAAGCTTTATCACGACATTGTCTTGGTTGTGTCATTTTATCACGGCTGAACTGAAGCATCTTTCACTGAAGATGCTTCAGTAAAAAGGTACTTGAAGATGCAGATGTAAAGCGAAAGCATGAAGTTAGATCTTATCTTCGGTGGAGTGATTAAGTTGAGGGAGCACGAATCTGACTTGAAGTACGAGACTGAAGAAGACACGCATGCAGCAAAGGTGCCTGAAGATAAGTGCTGCATTAGGATGAAACTCTACTAAGGGTTAATTTAGAAATTTAGATAAATAAGTAAGTAATGTTATGAATATATTATTATGTTTTATTTGAACTTTAATTGACACTAAAAGTAATAAATCTTTTATTGTACCAATTTATTTCGCCTTTCTTGAAATATATATAATAAAATATGTTTATAAGTTTTGCCTCGGTCTTTTGCACTTTTGAAATTTCCCTCTTTGTAAGAACCGGATATTAAACTGAAACCATTGTACTTATCAAATTAAGAAGACAGTGTCGATATAAGAGTAAATATGAATTAATAGTATTCATTGCAACTACAAGTAATTCATCGATATCGGGACGTTATCGAATTTTGCTATCTTGGTAGCATAATAATTAAACATACAAGAATTGGAACCAATATTTCAGATTTTACTGTTCAACTATTAACTCAAAGTATCCCGTCTAAAATCAAAATGAGGCGTTCTGATGTACCAGTTTTCCGGTTTCCAGTTCCGCTTTATACTGAAAATCAAATGACTGTTTTCAAACAAATGCTTCTCTTCGATATTCGTGTTCAATCTGCTTCTACTAATAGTTGCGTCGTAGTTGTGTGTAATACACAGGTTCATATTCCTATTCACCTTGGAAAGGTTGTTGGAGCACTCGTATGCTATATACTAATTCTGAGATTGAGTTGGCAGCACAATCGGTTATTATGTCAGTGTTTTTTTATTTTTTATAAATTAGGTGATAAAAATTAGTCAGTCATAAAACAGATACTATTTCATGATCGCTACTTAAGTTCTATCATTTTTATAATGAATAGTTATAAATGAATAGTATAATGAATAGTTATTTTAATAATAAATAAATTACTATTTAAAAAAAATGTGATTGAAATGAAGTCATTTTGTTATAACATTTTGAGAATTATTTTTTTTTGTCTTTAAGTTCAGCTTGATAAGAGTAATTATATATTCTCCAATGTGACTTATATGTCTCAGTAGGTTAAAGCAATTTATTAATGCATTACTTTTAACTACTTTTAATTACCTAACACATTGTCTGTCTGATATTTTGATAAAAAGTAATTGATGTTGAATTTACTAACTGGCAATTTCTAAGCAGTGTTTATAGTGTAGACTTTTAAGAGACTAATTAATATTAATAAAATCTTGAAGAATTGCTTCAAGCAGAAAATACACATGGTTGAGAAATCTATATCAATTACATTTGCTGAAAGATTTGTAAATAAAAACATTACATGTATCTACGGTTTTTGTTATTTATTTATTCTGATATTTTGAAAGCATATAATCGTTTTTGTTTTGTAGTTTATCGACGATAATTGTTTAATATTGATCAATAAATTTCTTAATTTATATACGATATCGAAATGTAAAATGTATTAAAAATTTACTAATAAATTCTTGAAAAAGTTTTTTTCTTCTGTAGTTGTATTGATTAATTGTTTAGGTTTAAGATACTAAATATTAATTTTTGAAAATTATGGTATTAGTTTTATGACAATTTTGTCAATTTTTTACATTGGTTTGATTGGCTCTTACAAGCTCCTGGGTGACGTACGCGCCAAGCTGAAATTGTTTAAAAAATATTGGTTAAGGTTAAATTATTCATGGATCGATTTTAGTGATAAAAATAAGTTTGTATTTAATGTTGTCCTACCTTCATTTGGCTTCAAACATCTTCGTGCATTTAAATTGCATTTATTTGGGAAGGTACACTTGCGAATGCGGAAACGTTCCACCAGTTCTGCACAGACTGGCTTATATTCTCTAGTGCAGGCGAGTGGACAAGTTGCTTCGATGGCTAAAAATCCGAAAGCGAAGACTAGGAATAAAATTGCAAATTTCATTTTAGGTTATTTTCGATATCAGAACGCAGACTATATTTTAAATTAAATATTATTGATTCTACATTATTTATACTTTTTTTGAATCTAGGTTAAGAATACTCTTTATGGCAGGAAATATATGGTAAATCTTTTAAATATTATTACATGCAATAAGAAAATATGTTTCATTATAATTATTTCGTACAAAAGATATATTTTTTATTTTATATAATAATAATGTTTTATTCATAATAATATGATTTATATAGATATTATTTTTATTATCTTTTTTGATAATAAAAGTGTGATATTTGCACAAGAAAAATAACGAAGTTTTCTTTATATAATCTATAATTGTTTTTAATATGATTGTTTTTAATAAAATAATTATGTATAAAAATAAAAATTGCATATGAATGTAGTGAAGTTCTGAAAAAAAGATTGAGAGAAAGGCGTTAAGGTAATGAAATTTTTTATATTTAAAAATTTAGTTTTTAATCAGTTTAATTCTTGACTTGACCATCATCTTAATTTGTCGGAGTATCTGTTGGTTTCATTTGTAAAATATTTAGCAAATCTTTATAATTATTTTTATTTAAAAAAAATGGTCCTCCTTTTCCTTATGAAATGGATTTCTTGTTAAAAGATTTAAAGTCCAAATTAGCAATAAAAAAATATGATTTTAATAATTTCAGCTTGACTAATTTAGTATATTCGTGAATGATATAATAAAATGTATTTTAACTTAAAGAAGTTAATGAAAATTTTTTAAGTTTTGATAAACTCAGACACTCTCAAACCAATCTGCAATGCAAAAGAACTAGAAAATAAGACACAAAATAAGACACAATATTAGCCGTCCACTTGAATATAAACCGGGAAGTGTTATTAAAATCCCTTACATCGATCCGATTGGTTTTGTTTAGTCATATATATGAATACCATAACATTGTTTATAATCATAAAATTGCATTATTTATATGAAAACACTTTTAACGAATCTTTATATAAATCAGAAAATAAATATCTAAAATGGAACGCACGTCAATCCTCAAGTATTAGCTCATTCTATTACTAATGGAGATATGCAACAGAAAATGAGCATAGGGAACAGCAAGACAACACCTGATGATTTCTTAAAATAACTATTTTTGATTTTATAAGCTAGTTATATCCCTATAAATAAAATTTATAAAAGCTTTTATCTGCACAATCTTTTATTTATCAATGTTGATAGCTGATAGTTTTCATGCCATATTACATTAAAGATCCTATCTGGCTATATAATTAATATATAATTAAACATCATATATTTTATAAATTAAAATATGTTATTTTTTCCGGATACATGCAGATTATGAAATTTTTCTCGAAAGTTATTGATAATAATTAAGATTTCAATAAATTAATTTATATAAATATGTAAGACATCAAATGAATATAATGAATTTAAGTTATTATTCGTAGACATAACTATTAATTAATTAATTAATTAATTAAATATTAGCAGAGCTTTAAGGAGGGTGCAAAAGGAGAGCATAGTATGTCCAGAAACTCTACAGCCACGGCCTGAAGGAATACACCTCGATGCAGACGTAGTTACAAAAATAAATTTCGACAAATACTGATGTGCGGGTATCACGAGATTCCTATGAATGAAGAGGGGTGTGTTCGGAACAATTTTTATGGCAGAATATATCCCCGCTGAAACCTTGTAGTAGATTAGATACTTAGAGCGTAATCGGGTTGCAATAGCGATTATTGCAGAGATCACAAGTCTAATGTCTTGTTCGTGCTTAAAAAAAGATAGCTGTCGCTGCTCTTTTAGGAAAGGAATGCATGTAGTTTTCTTTAAAATATGGTATAAAGTTTTTTATATAACGTGTATTAGTAAAGTTATGATGGGTACAATAATCCACTGTTAATGAGCATTGATTTTTCAGTAACTGGACCTGTAACTGAATTGCTAAGTATATCAAATATAATGTGTATAACATGTGTCTTAGACAGCTTTAGAGTTGGGAACCTCTGATCAATAACAATAATGTATATTTTTATTGTATGTATTTTTATTAAATAAACTCTTAATTTTATTTTGCATAGCAACTTGCAACATTTGTACGAGTAGAAAATAAAGTGAAAAACAAAAGAATTGTAAATATTATGAGAAGTGCCTAATTCAGTTTCCATTTCTGTGTGTTAAACTTAATTATTTCGAATTTGTTATTGAAACTCAATTTTAGAGGTAATACTTTTCCGCATTAGTTTTCGAAACAGTTTATTTGAGAAAGATGTTTTTAACCAAAGTGAAACATTTAAATAAACAACTGAATTACCTAACTATTTTTATTGTTGTTGAAAGTTTTGGGAACATTTGTCAGAAAACTATAAAAACATGAACAATTGACATAAATCAGTTAGTTTTAAATTGTACAATCAAAAAAATAGTGCATTGTAGATACACAAGTCAAGATGTCCTATGTTACTAAAATTTTGTTACTGTCTTGCGTGTTGCTAGTGCTACAGAGCGTTCTAACACAAAATTTAACACGTCCACCTCGACCAACGCGTCCATCCATTTCAACTCGTCCAACTCGACCAATTAATTCTACTCGTCCAACACGTCCAACTCGTCCAACACGTCCAACACGTCCAACTCGTCCCACTCGTACAACTCCATTACCTTGCAGTGCAGCTGTTAGATGCTCAAATGTGGAAGATATAGTTTGGGCTACAAGTGCTAATAAATGTTACGTCTTTCGTAATGAGTGTCTCTTCAGAAATGAAAACTGTCAACGTCAGAGTAGTAATAAAAGAGGTATTCACCTACTTTTTCAACAATATCATTCAAATTAATTGTGATGAAATGTGTAATCAAATAATATATATTATTTTAATTTAAGTTCTGAGAAGTGTCACGAAGAGTCAATGTCAAAAGAAGTGCGGTGAAAATTGTACACGAATCTTGCGTCAAGTTTGTGCTGAATATAATGGAGACAGACGTACCTTTAACAACATGTGTCTTTTAAGAAAATATGTTTGTGAAACAGGAAAAAGTAAGCATAATTTTTCAATACTTTCAATATTGAAATATTAAACAAAACTCAGAAAATTATTAAAAATAATTTCGAATATATTTTTTAAGCTTACACCTACTACAAACGAGGAAGCTGCTAGGCATGAACAATACTACTTTAAGTGAAATCTTATCTACTAGTACTTTAGGTGCTTCAATCTTAGCTTAAATTAATTTTTTCTTATTTAAAAAATAAAGATATAATTAGTAAAATAATCCATTTAATGTGCAGTTTATGGTTTATAATATAGCTTATGGTGTATGTAATTTATTTGTGGAGGAAATTTTTAATAGCAATGGTTTCATATATCTATTCAAATACAGTGCATAATATATGAATAATTGTTCCAGAATGATATATTTTTATCACTTTTACAGAATGAGATTACAGAATTAATTAATACGTTTTAATGGTTAAGATGGCTCGCTAGTAGTTAAGTTTTGTTTCATTAAAATGTGGCGTCACATTAGCATTTTTAGTAAGTTACTAAACAATTACTTATAATTTTAATGCAATACAAAATAAATTGTGAAATATTGTTTCATAATTATTTAAAAAAATTAACAAAATTACGATATATCTCTGAAGAATCATCTATAAAGAAAAGCATATTTTTAGGTAAGAAGAATAATGAAGCGTGAAAGTGGTGCAAACAGTAAGTATTTTTTGATAAAATGTTTAGATATGAAAAGTATCTTCATATTATTATCAGAAAATTAGATAAAATTAAATACGTATACCGAAACCCTGACCTTTATTAACATTTTATCTACATGTTTATTACAAAGATAATTTCATTTAAGTTCCCATATTGTGATACGATGGACTGCATACACATCTTTGCTCTATACATTTGTCTGAATATATAAATATTAATTAATATTATATACAATAATATTATAAATATTAATAAATCGTTCATTTGAAATTATTTTGTTAAATTTTATCTTTTTAAATAGATACAAGCAAAAAATTTTTTAACTTTTTAATAAACAGCAATGTGTACTTAGCAATTAATGTAAATAAAGATTTTTACGTCGGGTTTTTTTTGTATTCGTAGACATATTGGATAAACCATATTTCATTAAGTCAACACATGAAAATATTTATACATTTTTATTATAGATTTCGAATGAATTTAAGTTCAGTTCAGAAATAAAACTCGAATCAGAACGTTGTGTTAAAAAGTTTTTTCTAAAAATGCAGCATTTCAAAAAATATTTATTCGCTATTGGATTAATCTTCAATGTTATCCATTATATCGATGCAAATAATGACTCAACCATTGATATAGCACCCGAACCGGTTCTAACCGGGTTTGCTTGCTTTGCAACAACTTGTCCTTCTGATGGAAAGCCTGTGTGGTCAACTGATGGCGTAGAATGTTATGTGGACACAAATCTATGCAATCAGTCGATACGTCAGTGCTTACGCAAAATTAATAATGAACGTGGTAAGGAATCAAATTAGTTTACTTTTATCAACATTTTTTTCAGTGCATAAATTTTTCCATTGAATTCGTGTAGAACTTACGCCAACATCGAAAGAGAGTTGTCAAGAACGATGCACACGGGCTTGCGCACGTCTATATGAGCCAATTTGTGCTAAACGCAATGGTGTTGAACGAACTTTTCCCAATGAATGTGTATTGGAAAATCATATTTGCAGGACTGGAGAATGTAAGTAAATCATAATACAAACAAGAGATGTACTCATTATTGGATAATTTTTTAGTTTACTTCGATCGTACACCAGGAAAGTGCGTCAAGACTGAAGTGAAAACACAATAATATACATTATTATAGATAATTAAAATAAATTTAAAAAATTAAATAATAATTAAATAATTAATATTCAAAGTTTTGGAAAAATTCTGTACCGGAATATTTATAAAATTACTCTATTAAAAGTTGTCAATATTTTTTAATATTGATTATGACTAATATTATTCACAAATTTTTGTTCTAATTTTATATAAAATAAATAAATAAAATTCATAAAACTAAAAACAAACTGAATGAGTGTATTAACAGCTGTTTCATATATTGCGGAAATGTCTAAATTTTTGTTAATAATTGGAATAAAATGAATATTCAAATGGAGTCAGTAAATAATCTTATTTGCATTTACGAGGTAAGTTAACTAAATTTCGGAATAAGAGACTTCTTATAAAATTGTTCTAGAGATGCTATTAAAAGGAGAAAAATTGCAGTAAAAATAAATTCTATGACTTATATATGAAATCAATAAGTCTAGTACTGATAAATTGTATTATAAAACTAGAATTCATACACTTTCTCCATTCTGGGGAAATCTAGAAGTCGGGATCTGTGAAAGGCAACTCCCTTGAGGTACATTTGCGAGTTAGACAGCAGCAATAATTTTAATTAAAAATATTTTTTGAACATAACCGAAAAGTATGAATGCAATATAATCCGAATACACTCCACGAGACATTTTACGGTACTAGATTCTTTTGACAATAGTATTCGATAATTTGTCAGCACAGTGTTAGCAATAGTTCGGACATTCATTGAAGAACGTTCGCAAGGAGAGTTTAAATGTCTGTACGCCTAATACAATCCATTGCATAATCTCACAAGAAAAGTGCAGTGTTCAATCGCAATATCATAATGATTCATGCACAAAGCCGAAATGTGATTATTCGTCTGAGATATATCTCGCACAACAAAGTGAAGAAAGGACATATTATTTGGCCTGTAGCACAGTTCTGTTAGAATCACATATCTTCCATATCCATATCATCAATTTCATAGTCTTTTTAACCGATGATTGCGTATTTGATTTGCAAAACATTAATTTTAATATTGGAATACTCTCAATTTTAAAAATGCTATTAAAAATCATTTAGGGTTTTGTAAAAACACATTTTAAGTAACTATTAAAAGATATATAATGTAGCAATATTATTGTTGAAAATTCTGTTGAGCACACCTTGGAGGGTGTTAAGTTGATATACTCGTATTTAATATGGTTTTATACATTTTTACAATGTTTTATATATACACTACAATACAATACTATTTTCACATGCTAAATATTGTTTTACAAGGATGAGACATCCTAAGCTAGAACCTATTAAGTACGAAGGGTATGATCATCGAAGTTGATGTCGCAGATGATATAAACTATTTATATTCTTGGTTATTACTTTACTTGATGCATAGATGTGGACGAATTTGTATTTTCATTAAAAATTAATATCTGATAAGTATCTTTGACTATATAATACAAAACTAAAAATTTAGCTGATTTTAATAAGTTAAATGTTAAATATAAAAGAAAAGTCCAACTTACAAAATCTGGACAATAAACACTCATACGTTTGTTCTCATAAATTTCAACAGATAACGTAGAGAATAAAATTAATAACTTATTTTAGAATTCATTTAGTTTTCTAGAAAATTTTTAAGTATGGTGTTTAAAGCTATTTTAAGAAGAAATCAACACTCGACTTTTCGTATATGATACCCAAAATATGAAAGTCTTAACTCACACAAGACTTCATAGATACAAGACAAAGAAATCATTTTGTAGTATCAATTTTTTTTTTGTATATAGCAGATTTCATACGCCCAAGTGTCATAATTTGACGTATCATGATTTGCTTACTCAAATCTAAGAGGTTGACAGTTGTCACTTTTATTATCTTAACTTTTAATCTAAAAAATTGTTTTAAACATTTTGCTATAGACATTTGATCTAATATATCTGAATAAAAACAATGAAATGAAAAGCTAAACAATTTTCATTTCAATATCTTTAATTATTTTAGCTATTTTAGTCTAGTATCTATCATAATGAATAATATCTAAATTAAGACTTTTGTTTGTAGAGGTAAACATATGTATTTAAGAATATGTTTCATATCAAGATAAGTGCCCACAAAAAACCAAAGATAGCAGAATGTTTGAGAACATTTTTTAGATTAAAAGTTAAGATGACAGAAGTGCCAACTGTCAACTTTTTTGATTTAGATTTATTAAAATTATATATGCTTATAAGATTGCAATTTATTTTATTGTTAAAATTAGAATAAACATACAAATATTGATAAGATGATGATCTGTTGTGATCTAATTATTGTTAACCAATATCTCGAGTCGTATAAGCAGATAACTTACTTAAAGTATTTACAACCATAAGGCGTTGTTGCCAACAGCAATTCGTGATATTGTGAGTTAGGGGAATTTTATCCGGCATGACTATATTTTTAGTATAATTAATTTCTCTTCACGGTCGCATTAAGTACTCAGCAGATACTTGGAATCAACCGTCGATGCCACTATCATACCAAGTAAATGTATTTTTGTACACTGCATGTCATAGGAAAACCATCGATGCTTTATTGATACCTAGAAATACTTATGCTCTTTTGATGTAAAAGAAAAGGCGCGGCTTCCAAAACGATAGTCCCAGAACCATTTTGTGGTCTAGGCAAAGGAACTCTATCCATTCTTATGGACGGCGCAGAGGAAAAAGAAAGAGAACTCTATTAGAAAAGGCTACCAAAATTTTGATAATTTAAAATGCTTTTAGGGACTTATAACATAAAACGTTTCAAAGATTGCATAGCACAAAAAAAAAATAACATAAGAATTATTGTGGGATTATTCACCGGTCACTGTAGATTGAATTATCACCTATCGAAATTAGGAATTCAATCCAACTCTGACTACAGATACTGTAGAGAAGAGAGAGAAATTGCATGCCATGTGCTTGAGGAGTGCACCTAGAATGGAATTTCATGGATCATAAGGATTCAAGACTAGGCCTTATACTGCCGATCATTAAAAAAATCGGACTTGAAGAAACACTCTAATCTGGCTAAGGGGCATAATATATCTTCGCAGTACACGATTTCTTCTTTTCAATAATAATGATAGTTAAACCAATAAAAATACTATAGCGTTATGATATTTGCATAACACATTTTTTTTAAAAACAATTGTACTATAAAAAAAATTTTAAAAGTAATTAAAATATAATATAAAAAAACAAAAAAATAAATAAATATAATAAATAAATCTACAAATTTTAATTAAATTAGATTATAATTAAAACAAATTTAATCCGAAGATAATTAAATTTATTAACAAAAATTTTAACGAGATTATCGATGCTGAATTAAAGCTATTACTAATCCATTATTTCGCTCCAATAATACTCAATTTGTAGATTATATGTGTAACTATCACCTCCATTGTATGTATCAATGAATAAACATAGTCCATTTAAGTCAAATCACTACCAAACGGAGCAATTAAAATAATAAAATTTTTTTTTTTAAAAAACGAAACAAAATTCAGCAATATTATTGCGGCTATAAATCTAAAATTATAGGCGCTACATGAGAGCCTATTACGGAGTCAAAAATCATATTCTAGCAATCGAACTTATATGACAGCAAAAAATAAATAATAAAAAATAGCAAAAAGATTGGCACAGAAAAGTGGTCATTATGTGTCAGACATGTTGCGTTCTGTGGCTGAATAATCCAAATTGGAAAGTAAAAACCCAGCTGACGTTGGCTGTGCATTGGCAAGTTCAAATGGACATGCGAACTATATGAGACGGCACTCAGATACATAAGACCGTCTGAAATTGCGGGCGGGGTTTTGGCAGTTATGCATGCTGTGCCTCATAATTTGCTTTATTAAAATTTTATTGTGTAACAATAACATTTTTTTGCCTCAATTTTTGGCATTAGGTGAAGTACAATCAATTTATGGCACCTTTAACCTAAGGCCATAAAATTATTATTATTTATTTATCAAACAAATTATTAAATTTTTTGACTTTCATTTTCACGCATTTTATTATTATAAGTTTTAGTATCTCAAAATATTTTAATTTTATACTAAAATATCAGTAATTAGACTGCCCCTTATTAAATATAAAAATAATTACAGTAAAAGTTAATAATTTTTCTTAGCATAAAATTTAGTCGATATGATGTAATGACTTTTTTCATAAAGTATCTTTTCGTATGGCGGCAAAAAAAATTATTTTTGATTTGCGGTTTAACGTAGCGGTAACTTATGGTTTTGACTTCAGGGTCTCTTAATTAAAGTCTTTATTATTTCTCAGCGTTGAAACCGCAATTTAACAAGTTGCAGTCGATTTGCTATTCAAAGACCAATTTATTTTGATTAAAATACTTGAATTTTCAATTAATTACTGTGCGAATTACGCACTTCAGTTAGTTACCTTTGAAAATCGTTCAATTATGAGATTAACAGGTCCGCGTTCAAAAATTGTATATGTTTTGTCTTTTGAGCGGACGTGCTTGGCTCCATTTTCATTAATAACGCTATAGTATGGCTTTATTTGCTTATTAAATAAATTATTGAAGCATATGAATTTGATTATATATAATTAATATCTCTTAAATGTTTAGTTTAATTTTTAGTTCACGTCTTTGAAATTAATTAATTTAACTTTATTTACTCTTATATATATTTAGATTTTTAGGAAAATTATATGTTCTTATATTATATAGACCAATCAGTAATGAAAATGTGTAAGATAGTAACGTTCAAATTCTTTTTTTTGCATTAGGTGGAAAACCCACCGTCTGAGACTTGAATCCACTAAAACCACCTTTTAGGAATGGTTATGGAAAATTGCAGTTACGTTCAGCGGATGCAATCCCATTCCAGCAATTAAGGATACAGAGAGCAGACAGGCTTTATATTTAGCGAGCTAAATTCATCTTAGCCAGAAAGCATGGACTTAGTTATATGGGAGAGAGTATTTCTATAAAGAGAGTGGGATAGGTGCTGAATTGCGAAGAGTTAAGCTAGGTGCATCACTACATATAGCTATGTTATGTTAACATTTAAGAGAACGGTCCAAATACCGTTCATCTTAATGCAAATTTAAATGTTTATTGGACAA